ACATCCATCATTTTTTAAGAAAGAAGCATTTTCTATGCTCCTGCAGATGGCACTAACATCGAACTATGATTGCCTATATAACAGTATATGGCAAGCATCCATCTTGACCACATCACATAACACCTCATCAACATAGCTACGATTGATAAAAAAATACGTGACACAGCTCATCAACTTGCACATCATTGCCTTTGTGAATCCAATCGATTTTGTTGGATGGAGTGCTTCTCTATCATATACCGAGAGACAAGATTCTTGCTACTACCACTACTATTAGGGATAACATTACAAGTCTTCTACGTCATGATGTATTTCGTATGGAAGATATTATGTTTCTAATGTGCTTCTTTTATTGCTACTTCTTTGTGCTCTTCATAACTTCAGGGTCTTTCTTACAGGCATATTAGGGTGGCTTAATCTCTATACGATCATAGTTAGAGTGTAAACTTCGATATCGATTAAACACATAATAATATGTTGGAAGAAATTGAGCTTTCAATAATTCCCTCATCTACACCCATGATTCAACTTTTTTACTTTTGTTGATCCTCATATAATAATTTCCGCTAAAATGTTTTTTTTACTCAAAAGTCAATGGGCTAAACATTTAGCATTTTGATCTTTCGTGATTCCCAACTACCCGAGAAATTTTACCACCTCATGTATCCTATCAAGAAAATCCTCTACATTAAGTTTTTCTATTGAAGGATGGTAAATCAATCCTAATATTTTTTAGTATTATAGATATCTCATCTCAAGTAGTGTCTACGATCATGATTTCATCTTGAAGCTCCATACACATTGATGTCACTATTGAATTCTTCTCGCAGAGTCTGATCACATCTTTGATGACCAGCAATGCAATCTCAAACTTGTCCTAGTTCAAACACTATTACCAATGCAAGTCAATATGTGTGAATCTTAGTCTAAGTTTGGGTAATAGGGGCTTTGTTGCAAGTGATCAGATTAGAAATAGAGCTTTTATACTAATTACCATAGTGCATAATTGAAAAACCTCAAAATTCAACAAAGTGTTTTTTGAATTCATAATGAACAATCTTCGAATCTATGATGAGACAACCTCAAATTCATGAAGTAATATTGAAGAAAATTTTATCGATGAAAAGTTATAGATTTTCTAGGGTTGCAAGCCTCTTTTTAAATAGACAAATAAAATACATTACTAATAGGACTAGAATTAGAACGAAATATAAATTCTTAAAAACTACCTTAAAAACTTTTTAAAATAGAGAAAATAAAACAGTCCAAAATGAATCAAAATTAGAATTTATTTCCTATCCTAAATATAGTTCAACTTTATTTCTAAAAATAACCTAAGGGCTGTGTATTTTAAAATTCTATCAAACGTGAGTGATGGTATTTTAGAAATATATTAAGTTGGCCGGCTTCGTTTTGAAGAGATAAGTAATATTCATATATAATATAGCTGATTTTGTTTTTTGGATTAGGAGATATGTGTTGTGTGGTTCCAGCCCAAATTAGGGCCTATACAAGTTAGGTCTAGCTAGAGAAATCCTATTTGAGATAGGCTTTGTTTAGGCCGAATCGCAATTGACTAGGAGTAGGAGGACTTAAGAATAATTTTCCTTTATTAGAAGGAAAGACACTCATGAGACCCTGTAATTGATTTATGGGAATAGAAACCGAAAGCAATTTTTTTGGGTGTGCGGATTTCAAGGTAGGAGAGAGAGAAAGAGAGGAAGAGGAAAAGTTTATTTCTGGGTTGCTTGGTTGTCCAATTGTGGCAATTTGAGCATCGTATTCTTCAGAACGATGATGCCGTCAAGGGTCCAGTGTTGCTTTCTCTATGAGTGTTAGAGATTTGAGTTGAGAAAAATTTTAGAGTTGTGGAGCCCTAGAAGTAACACTGCATTTTCTCTTATGATTTAATTCTCAAGTTTAGGTATAGCTTTGAGGATTTATACTTTTGATTCATAATCAAATATTTCACTCTATATTGCCTCGTGGACATAGGCACGATTTGCTGAATCATATTAAATCTTGGTGTTTGCTTATATGTGATAATTTTGTTAGTGTTGTTATTTGTTTCTTGTGTTTAATTTCACTGATAATCTCCATAAAATTTCTAATAAGCGCTATTAGAACCCTAGTTCGAGGCATGTCTCAAGATGGACAAGTTGGAGAGTGTCGACATAATGATAAAATTGGATGGTACTAATTAGCAAATATGAAAGTCCAAGATGGATGAAATTCTCTATTGTAAGGATTTACATGATCCTATTGAAGGACATGAAACCAAGATAGAAATCATACCTCATAAGGAGTGGGAGAATCAACATAGGAAGACGATCAGTTATATTTGGATATGAATCAATGTTAGTGTTTCACCATATATCAAGTGGGACTAATATGAAATCTCTTTAGAAGAAGCTTTAGGATCTCCACGAGTAGAAGACCATGATGAATAAGGTGTTCATTATTAGACGGTTGGTAAACTTGAAGTTCAAGGAAGGAAGTAGCATAGCACAACACTTAAATAAGTTAAATGTTAGGTCTCATGTTTATGAGCCTACTATCTAATCTAGTTTTGATGGTTAACAAACAATTCCTAATATCGTTTGTCGAGTGTGTGACGCCCCTGGGTTCACAAAAGGCTACAATCCGAGATGAAACCGGGAATGTCAAACCTGTCATGCATCACACCGTGTAATAACATGTTTCACCATCATAATTACTATCTCTCTAGTAGAATCAACAACAGGTATAGGTACAAAAACAAGTAAAAGATAATACAAGAGATATATGATAAAATAATAGAGATAAAAATGATATTTCATCATCCAACATATAAAAATATAAAGTGAATCTCCGAAATAACTAGTTTGCAGATCTCAACAAGTCTCAAATATAGAATATATGATAAAAGGAAATAAGGCACACAGCCTTTAAAACTTCTAGAACATAACTCTCAAATGTCTAAACAAAATATCTATAGTGGAGCTCCATAAATAAAATAAAACTACAAATAAAAGATGGACGCTAATAAGTATCGCCATCAACCTACGACTATCCGTGCACCTGGCTCGTTACCTGAAATGGGAGGGGACAACAAGCGTCAAAGCGCTAGCGAGCAACATCACAACCAATCCCAAGGGAGAGGGCTCGTTGCATATAGAAAATACAGTTAATACATATATACATGAAATCATGGATCCTAACAATAAGAGGATTTTAGTATTTAGGAAATTACAACACGAGCATAGGTATGTCGAGCGAATAATCCAAACAAGGAAACCCTCATGTATATACCTTGTATCTCAAATTGTAAATCCCTAAATATCAAACCCAAGATCTAATACAGGAACAATAATATAAAGAAGACTAAATACCATGTCATGTCAAAACCCATATAAGTGTCATGTCCAGCCTTTGTAAGTGTAAGTGTCATACTCAAGGTTTAAACAGGTGTCCAACACATGGACTAACACTAGGTATAGTGGATGCCCAACACATGGACTACATATATAAGTTTTCCAACACATGGACTGAATGATGAATGTCCAACACATGGACTGAATATAGTGAATGTCCAACACATGGACTGAATATGATGAATATCCAACACATGGAATGCACATAATAATTACCCAACACATGGACTGAATGAAATGTGTAGAATATCGATGAGATATATGAAAAGGATGCATATATATTAATTTCACACGTGTCTCGGTGTGCAAATCTAAACTCATGTTCGCAAGCCATCTCACATATGAAGATACATAATAAACAATAATTTCTAACGCCAAATATTCGAGGAGACTCCTCGTTCATATTAAAGCACACAACAAAAGTAAACATGCACATACTGTGCCGACGATTAAACAAAACAGGCAGAAACCCTTCACAGGTTTCTGTCTGCGTCGAAACAAATCTAGAAGTTACATCATTAGTTTTCAAACATAATATTAATAATATCAACATATATGAAACAACATGAAACGAAATATTAGCATGTGAATATATTGTCGAAACCCAAAACATTTATATACACATGGTTAAACGTTTTAAAAGCAAAAACTTATGATTTAATTCATGATTAGTAAATTTCAGATCTGAAATTTGTCAAGGTTACTATTGTAATCAATTAGAAAATTATGATAATGTATTCTAACTTCATATGTTATAAAGATCTATCTTTTGTACACTAAAAATACGTTTTAGGCTCAAAAAATTCGAATAAAACTTAATAAAATATGCAAAATATAAGGGTGTAGAGTTAGGCAAGATGTTACTCGCTTCAAATGCTGAAAAACTTCTGCCATGTGAAAGAGAACCAATCCCCTTCACTGCACTGCACAAAACCCGCTGAAAAATCCTCCGAAATCCCTCAAAATCGCCAAAGAAAAGAACTAGGGTTTGAGAGAGGTATTTTTTGTGTTTAAATATGTGCATATATGACAATAAACCCAAAAAACTACAGCCCAAAACCCGAAACCCGAAACTAAAAAACCCAGTCTGACTAGAAACATACTCTTCGGTATTTTGGCTGTAACTTTCGCATCTGACCTCAGAATAAGGTGATTAAAGATTTGCACTAGTAAAAAGATAGCCAGCCCCAACAGGTGTATACAACCGTTGGGGCTGGATTTATCAGCCCCAACGGGTTAAACCATTGGGGCAAAGCGGATTTTGCCTACAACCCAACAGAGGGAAATCCCCCCCATTCATTTTCGCGAAAAAAAGAAAAAACAAAGAAATCCCCC